GTGAGCGGCCAGCAGCCGCAGTGAGTGGCAGTCCAGAAGCCGGCGACTGATCTGCCTCACCCGGGAAGAGCGCAATGATGGTGCCAACTTAGGCCAGTGAAGCAACGTCCTCCACAACTAGACTGAAGAACAAAACGACAGCAACTTCTCTGTTCCCCTTCCCCCAATTCCTCAGCACTGTTCCCCTCCCCCAATTCCCCAATAAAAATCTTTAAAAAAATAAATAAAAATAAAAGTAAACATTTAAAAAAATTGGTGAGGTGGTGGGGGGGGGTGGTAGATGAGGGTAAACAGGATCAAATATATAGTGATGGAAGGAGAACTGATTCTGGGTGGTGAACACACAATGTGATATATAGATGATATATTACAGAATTGTACAGCTGAAACCCCCATGTAACTTTACTAACCATTGTCACCCCAATAAACTTTAATTTTAAAAAATTTGCCAACCTTTGCACTAGCACAAAGACCTTACACAAAAATAAATTAGAACAAGAAGAATAATATCAATCAGTTGTTGGAAACCACCCAACAGTGGCATGTCAAAATCTCATTTTTTTGTTTTTGTTTTTGATATGTTCTTGGGATGTAGGGAGAGGTGGATAGCACACCGAGAGCAATTTCACATGTGACACGAGAAAAGTGGGACACATCCAGTCTGCATGCCCCAGGAAATGGGTATGCATATCACCTTTACCATATATGCCTAGAGCTGCCAACACCTAACACAAATAAGTTCTTCCCAGAATTCTTAGTCATTACCTTTGCTATCCTTGTAAGAACGCTAACTATGATCCTTTTATTTGCTCAACCTGAGTTGAGTCAGGTTGCACTTGAGTCATTTGTCATTTCTGAGCTCTGTGACATCAGAACTATCTCTTGGGATTATGCTTTTGCCATCTTATCAGGTCCTGGAGGTAGATGAAAAGCTTAGTAGAAGAATGAGAAACTAATACCTATTGAGTGTATACCGTGCACGAAGTAAGGTGCTAGGTGATTTATATATCCATCTATTCCTCACTATAAGCCATGAAGTAGCTATTATTATTCCGAATTTACAGATGAGGAAACCAAAGTTCACATGAGTTAAATAACTTGCCCAAAGTTATAAAGGCATTATGGCAGAAATAGGACTTCTACTGAAAGTCCACACTCTTTACATTTGACCAGATTTTCAGATGAGAACTCATACTTGTCAGCTATAACAAGGTTTTGAGTAAGGGAGAAAAGCTATAGAAGCCAAGGAATAAAGTGTAGCATTTCATATGATGGACTGTGATTGTTTGTGTTTGTGTGAATGTTGGGGGTAGTTTAATAGGAATAAAGGAGGGATGAAAAGAAAATAAACAAACATGGCACCCAATATAAAATTTATATTGTTCTCTGCCACATCAATCTAATACTTGAAAAATACAAGGCTTGAAATAGATTTTGTGTTTCCTCTAGGTCATACTCTGAATAATGAGTTTGACTGAAATTAAGTGACTTACACTCATTATTTGTGATTCATGATTACTGAGTATTCAGAATTTTCTAGGCCCTAATTTTAACATTAAAATTCTGGAACTTCAAACTTTCACTTGGAAGCTTATTTAAACAAAAAGTCAAGTTAAATCTAAGGAGTTAAGATTTATAGGGAAAAATAGGTAATCTTACTCTAAAAAAAATTAACCAAAAGATTCATCTTTCTCC